GGTGGCTGCAGCCGTGGCTTGTGTCGCATCAGGAGTTGTGTAACCAGCGGCAGGGGAATCTCCTGGCCGGGCGGGGTGATTGCGGCTCTCGGAGCGCTCCCACCTGCCGTGGGAGGCCTTGGAGAAGAAGGGCCTCATAAGGAACTGCTGCAGAATGTATCTATAAATTTAAGGAGATCTATTTGGATGCCTGACAATTGAAGAGGAATCTGAAAAACGTGTCATGAGTCAGATGATGCTAAACATAATCTGGCATGCCTCGGCAGCCTTTGAGGTTGAGACTGTTTGCAGCTACCGATTGCAACGTTCAGAGCCATTTTATGTTTAAGCAGTGCCCATTCTCGTCTGTGCTACTCATCTGGGATGAAGCCACAAAAGTCAGCTGAAAGCTTTGTCGATAAGCACAACTGTGTGTATTTCCCGTGGGTCTTTTTTTGAGATGTACAGAGGAACCGAAGGCTACAGCAAGCATCAAAAGTGCAGAAAGGATGAGCAAAAATAAATGGCTAACACTGCTGTTATGGTGAATATGTACTGAACCAGGGATAAAATTGTGTAATCCTGCCGGTCTGCCTTGTTGGACAGTACTTGAGGTTATGGGCATGTATCTAAATGTCAGCAGTTTGAAAATGAAAGAATGTGAATCCAAAGGAGAAGACTGTTTCTCAAAGTGCTCTGCTATTAAACTGAAGAGAATTTGTTACCTCTGATGATCAATCATGACTGCAGCAAAACTTAATAAGGACAGATTCATTCTTTTATATACCTTAGGCAGGAACTTTTTTGTGTTCCTTTCTTTTTTACATTCCTTAGGTAGTTCCTTTTCCTACATAGGCTGCATCCACTACTTGGAAGCTGATAGCCAGACCATGTAGCTAAAAAAAAATCTTAAGGACCCGAGCTCAGCCATGTTCCTTGCTTAGGCACCACGCCCTGTGTTACTCAGTGGTACTAAACACTCTTAAGCTGTACCTCTCTGTTTTGTTACAGCTTTTTAAATGGTCCGTTTCCATACAAAGCTCAGATTCCATCATTCTGTTTTGTAATCATATTTTAGCAGCATTTTACATCAATCTCAATAATGGTTTTTGTAGCACCTCTTCGCCAGATGTCATCGGGGAGTGTTCCTGGCTCTTCTGGAGAGAACATGATTTACTATCTCCTTGCTGGTGTTGCTGCTTTTGGTGGTTTATTCTATGTAAGTGTTTGGGAATGGAGCTGTTTGTGCTTTCTGGGTTGGCATGGTATAATATGTGTTCTGGGTTAAAGAATATGATCAAGACGCAAATCATCAATAGAATGTGGATGTTGCACCACATAATTAAATGCAGTCTAACTTAAAAATTAGTTCAAGAGACTAGTGCAACTGAATGCCTGTTGCTTGCCTTTTTTACTGTTAACTTTGATATCTAGTGGTCTTGTCATTATTAGTGGAAAACGTATTTAAGACTGTAAAATCTATGTGTATAGAGATGGAGGAAGGCACCTGCCTCTAAGCCCTTGCCTTTTCTTGTCAACCACAAACATTAACGATACATCAAAATGGGAAGACCTGGGTGAAGTAAGCTGTCTGAAGCCACAAGGGGAAGATTATGAACCTCAGTAAATGGGGCACGAAGAAAGATAAGAATATTAGTTATTTAGGAAGAGCATATGAAAGTTTCATAAACATCTACTTCTGTCAAACTTTTAGCTAATCCTTCTCTTCCCTGCATCTAAATATATCAGCCTCTGTGCTTCACATTGCTAAAGCCTCCATTTCAGAGCTTCCTCCAACCTCCCCCTGACCCCCCAAGATTTGAGATAGTGGCTAGCACATTCCAGAGAGGTATGTGTTTCTCTCTCCCACAAAGTAATCCTCTTGAATGGTAAGTAGCTTCTACTTGTTCAAAATACCAAACTCGTGTGATTGTGTATCTGGCAGAATAATAAATCTCTTCTTGTCACCTTCGAAAAATTTTTATTTAAAAAATATGATCTGACTGCCTGCTCTTTGGATGTGTTCAAGGCCAGGTTGGATGAGGCCTTGTGCAGCCTGGTCTAGTGCGAGGTGTCCCTGCTCATAGCAGGGAGGTTGGAACCTGATGATCTTTAAGGTCCCTTCCAACCTTAACTATTCAGTGATTCTGTGACTGTAATGGTCTCCTCAAATACTGCGTTCAGTTCCTGAAACTGCAGCACATTGAAAGCTGCATGGTATATTGCATTTACTTTCTAACTATGGAGAAATATGAAATGTATACGTATATTAGTGTAGAAAAATAGATTGCTTAGCCTAATGCATTTTAAGATGAGCGGCAACATTTGTTTAAAAACACTTCTCTCCGTTTTCCCTCTTTCTTTGTTAACTTTGTAGGGGTATAGCAGTTAAGGTATAATTTCTTTTCAGGCCTACAGAGAAGTCAGTTCATCCCGTAGCAAGTATATTGAACATATGAATATTCTTCATGAGAGAGCTGAGGGGCGGAAAGGCAAACGGTCAAGCAGGGGTGAGTTGAGCACTTCTGTCTTGTTCCCCTGGTATATGAATTTCTGGAATAGATTTCTAGATTGTCGAAACAGGCCTTAAACATGTTCAACTCCTTGTCTGAGTTCTGTGAGTGAAAGTAAAGAGAAGGGTGATTGTGCAGTGTCCTGTTAAAAAAGCTACTTCAGCACAGGTTTTGGGAATGGTCTTAACGTTTAGGCAGTGAATCAGGCCTGTGATCAACCTGCAGGAATCTCTGGATGGAAAGAGTTGATGTGTGAACCATTAATTGTATATTGCGTATTTGCATTTGATTTACTGGAAGCTTAATGAAACTTGACTAAACATGTAATGCTGTCAAAATCAGTTTAATGCTTTTGTTTGCTGGGGGAGGAGGGGAGGAGAGAATATTTTTTTTTCAGCCAACAGTTTGGCTCCAGGCCACGTGCTGTCAGTGAACACAGTCCAATAGGAAAAAACTCTATGTATTTTTAAAAGTACTGTAAGTTGGACCCACTTCCTGTCTCACAACTTTGATTTTGTCCTTTTTAATTTAGGATTCAATGAAAAGCAGACACCACCTAAATGTATGACAAATCCTTACTTAGCTCTTCAAGCTTACATAATTAGACTATGTTAGTTCAAATACTCGTAATGGAATGTTGTCTCTGTCTACTTTAATTAGTGTTATGTGGCATTGATACAAAAGATAGAACTTTGGCAAGTACGGCGTTGCTAGGAAAAGCAATCGGAAAAAAATTACTTCTTACGGATCTTCATATTTTTAACTAGTTGTTATTTTAAAAAATAAGTCAATTAATGAAGGTATAGCACTTCCTGATCTTTTTCTGATGCTGACATCTAGTGAATTGATTTAATACTATTTGCATGCACACAAAGGGTAGATTTGAATAAGATACACCAAACTTAAATTTTGGGTTCAGTGTGAGAACATGCTTTGAATTGTCTGCCTCTAAAATGGTTTCTTGCAAAGTTGTTAGTCTTGAAGTTCCACAGTACTTCCCTTTGTTTTAGAACTTTTAAAATTGGACATTTAAAGATTTAAAATATCAAAACCCCTTTATTTCCATTCTCTTAAGTAGCTGGAAGCAATACATTTTTAAGAATTATTGAAATGCTGAGAATTCTGCCACAATTTTAATGCAATCCTTTCTTGTCCTTAAATAATCTGACCAGGATGAAGTAGATACTTTCTCTTTGTGATTTAGTAGTCTGCTGTTCAGGGAAGAAACAGGGTTACACTTGTTACGTTGTGATTAATAGCATCAGAAGAACATGGTAGAAGTGAAAACATGAAGCAAACCTCCCAGGGCACTCAAAATTATGTCAGTATATTCCCTCTTTTCTCTTGAGGTTTACTTCTGCAAGGTACGGAGTTTTAACCCTAGTCTGTAAGAATGTTTTAGTGTGATACCTATAGAGTCAGTGGTGCTGTTAACCCATTGAAGGCCATACCTGTGTTGCCCAAGACTGGGGTAAGAGTACTCAGTGAATTGTAGTTTACTTAATTCTGATTTAGGGTACCCTCCAGACATCCCATAATCTGATGCCTTGCACTCCTTCGTATTTTACATAAATGTCACAACCAGTAGCAGATGATTACTGGCTCTTTTACTGTTGGTAGTAAGAAGTCCAAACCATTTCTAAGGCCATATAGAGCTGAAATTTGTTTCCTATATTATTTTCAATATTGGACTTCTGAATAAATGCTCAACCTGGAGCACTGGACTCTCAAATAGCTAATTTCAATTCACAATACAATGCTACTGTTGAATCAGCTCTTTTAAAAATCCTTCTTCATTCCCAACTGTATCTTCCCAAAAGAGGTTTCTGTTCTTACTTTTCCTATGGAATCCTCTGTGTGCTTCCTCAAAAGAGTCAATGTCTCTCATCCTCCCCTTTTTTCCTCCCTATTTCCTGCAGTCATATTTTTGTGCTTATTTTGTCACAGTGTTACCATAGTATTGCTTTTCCCAGAAGTGCCACTGCAGCTTCTTTCTCCACATATGCTATAGATTCACTTAGTCCTTGCCCTTTTTCATATAAAGCATTGCTGATAAGAGTAATTAAACATTCTCTTCTCAAAGTAATCTAATATTTTTGGGATCACATAAGATCAAGCTTAAAATAAGATATAAAAAATGCTGGTAACAATATGAAGTGGTGTAAAGAAAAGCAGCATTCATGGCATATTTGCTACATGTCCTATGGTAAGATAAGAACTTTCTAGCTAGAAGAACTTAATACTAGGGAGCAGCTGATCAGAGAAAGACTCTCCCAATCTGAATGATTTTTCATGGTTTTTCATCCCAAGGAAGATTCTTCCTGTTTCCAAACCCAAAATGCCTGTTACGAAGAACCACATGTAGCAAAGAAACAAGAGAAACAATCAAATACTAATCTAGGCTTTTTTCTTTATTAGACGGTTGAAATTATATTTAAATTAGTTTTAATTAATGCTATCAGACATTTTAAAATATATCTAATAGCAGATTTTCTGTAACTCTTCTCAAGTGACAGCACTGCCAAACATAGGGAGGAATTTGAAAAGGCCCCTGGCAGAAGCCTACCTTGAAGTAGCAGTAGGAAATCTGGGACATCATTTGAACTGTAAAATGATGTTTGCCTTGCAGAACATTCTACTGGCTTATTTAGCAAATACTGAGTTTTGTCTTCTGTGTGCATGCGTCTCCTTTAAACTTGTTCCAAATTTCCTTCTTTTTTATCAATGACTTTTCTTTTTAACTTGATGCAAGCTGATTCAATCTTCCTAATCTATACTCTGCTTTTACACTTTCCAGACTAAAATACAAGGGAACTCTCTTTCCAAGCCCGAGGAAGTTAAATACAAACAAAGGACAGTCGTTCACCATTGCGTACCTTGCAGCCTACCTTGGGATGACTTTATACCTTCTATTGTAAAACTCCACACTTGTGAGACTTTAAAAGAACTACCTATGTTTGCAAGGCCAAACCATATTGAGCTTATTACTGAATCCGCATTGTAGAAGGCAGTCCTGAGACTGGGGAGCTGGCTGTTGTGAATGAGTGCACACTCTATTTGACTGTCCAATAAAGTGTACTGAATGCTGAGCTTGCCTGTTTGTTCTTTGTGTAATCGATTTAGGTTTTTTGACATAGAGAATTCTCTTAAAGGGACATGATCAGGTTGCATAATACAAAGCTTTGATTTTTACAAGCAATAACCAGACTTGTGTTGAAACCTGAACAGAGAAAGATAGACTTGCACTAGCATAAGAAAGCCAAGAATTAAAATTGATCCATTTAGTTTTTAAACAGATATAAAATAATAAAATCTGACTATGTCTCTTTAAGCTTTTCCCTTTTTTTTTCCCTTTCCCCCCTCTGCGTTTTTTTCCCTTTCCCCCCCGTTTTTTTCACTTTTCTCCCAATTCCTCTCCCTGTTAACCCCCCTCTTTTCTTACTTCCCTTTTCTCACCTTTTTCTCACCTCCCTTTCCCCTCCCGCCTTTATTTTTTCCTTCTATTCTCACTTAGTTACACTGTATTACAAACTTTATTTCCAGTTCCATTTTTCTCAGAGTTGGTTCTAGTGGCAAATTTGCAATGAACACTTGGTGTATATTTATAGCACTTTAATTAAGTTGATGTCAGTGCATGTTTGCATGGTGGTGATTGTGCATTTTTGTGCTGTTCGATTTTGATGACTTGTCTCAGCTGAGTTTGGAGTAATGCATGATGAGGAAACACTCTGTTTTTCAGATTCTAAAGAGTCTGACCCACAGCAATGTAGACAAATATTTAAAAGACAGCTAGGATTTGTAAAAAGAAAATGATCAATCCTAAGTGGTCCTTCTCCAGTAAAATGAATGCTGACCACTTATAATCAGTAAGTTACTTTCTTACTTATATATACCCAGTAAGGGTCCCCTGTTTTATTCTGCCTCACAGATCTTACCTTTCTTCACTGCTTTGGCTCTTGCAGTGGTCACAGTGGTCACTACGGCTTTAAAGAAAGCAGGGTGAATAGGGGAAACAGATACCTGTGGTAGTGTAGAGCAAAGAGATGGCACAAAACCTGTCTGAAAACGAATCCCTTGTTTGGCTCAGCTTTGTTGTAGCTGTGCCAGCCAAGTTAGCCACCTTGAAAATAGCCCTGGGCAAACTGAAGGCACACCTTGCCCTGTGGTGCTTCTAAGCTGTGAGCCTGGTGGATAATAAGCTCCATTGGAGCATTTAAGTCATCGGAGCTTCTAAGTGTGATAGCAAATGTCTGATTCCCAGTGTGGTAACTCCACTGCTGGGAGCAAATTGGACAAGAACTTGCTTGCTCCCTGTGACACCTGTGAGTGCATGATCACTGTCACTTTCATCAGAGTGGGTTTGGAGCAACACTTGCTGGGGTCCTTTTTTGTCCTTCTGTGCACTTCCACCTCTTGCAGTCACTTGCTTCAAGCCACAGTTTCTTTTCCTATTGCACTGAAGCAGTTACGAAACTCGGTAATTAAGAATATGGTTTCCTCATCTTGTAAACATCTTTTTGGTGCAAAACTAGACAATATGGGGGCGATGAGCTGTTGATTTAATGACGTTGCAAATTCTAATCCCAAAGCTTAGCTTCCTATTTTAAATTTAAATTATGATGGTGAAAAGCAGTTGGTGGATTTGTGTTGCATGCATGCACTTTACTCTCTTTTATTGTATTAAACAAATCTTTAAAAGGTGATGAGGATGAGACAGCTGAAGTTGCTGAAGTCAGTGAAGCAGAGACAGCCACAGAGGAGGCAGATGCAGCAGCTGCTGCTGGACCCACAGCACAGGAGGAGAGTGCTGGGATATCCCCAGAAACTGGAGCGGAGAGTGACTTACCGGCTCCAGAGGCATCCCCTGCTGTAGAGGAAGCCCAGCAGGAAGCTGCTGCGGATGGTTCGGAAGCTGCTGCGGATGGTTCGGAAGCTGCTGCAGATGGTTCGGAAGCTGCTGCGGATGGTTCGGAAGCTGCTGCAGTGCAAGGTTAACTTACGAACGTGGTGTTTGCATGTGTGTTGTGGGTTCGAAAACTGCCTGTTAATGCAGAGCATTAAGAACAGTCAGTGTTCCTAATGGAGTTTGTCATGCAATGGAAACTAATTCAGGTCTTCTCTTGACATATCATGAGCATAAGGTAATTGGGGTTATTGAATCAGTGTCTCTAAAAGCATTCTGCCTGGGGCACCAGAGTTACTGTCTAAAACTAGTAGAATGAAAAATTTATTTTACTACCCCATTCTATTTATCTTCTTTAAGATCTTTTATCAAGGTGAGTGAGTAATACTACAGGTTAGATGCTTGTTTCAGTGACCCAGTTCTTAAGGGTTTGTTAAGGAATATAAACACTTTATTTCACTGGCCATTCCTAAGATATTTCCACAAAATAATTATAGCAGTTCTGTGAATGTTACTTGAACAAAATCTTGCATATCAGGATCTGAGTGTTAAAGATATACTAGGCTAAAAATTTCAAATTTGAATAACACATCAAATTGGCATGAAACACTTAACTCAGTGGCTACATACTTAGTGTTCTCAACTGTCAGGTGGTTTGAAATATTTTGATTTACTGTAATTTTAAAAAATCACAATAATACAAATGCAAACCTATCCATAAATTGCACAAAATACAGGATTATAATTTAACTTTATTTTTGGTTTGTTTTTTATTGCTAACCTGTAAGGATAGAGCAATGGCTTACCTTCTTACCTCTTGATTTGTTCAGCTAGATTTGGAACGGGCACATGTAAATCAATTGTGATTTCTTGGTAGATAGGAAAGCAGCAAATATTTGCATATGGTGCCTTCAATTAAAACAAACAAAACAGCAAAAAACCTGCCAGCCAATCATGAAAGAGAAACTTCATTCTAAGCTTGATTTAAACATGGAATCTTTACTGCACACCTATGTTTGAATTATTTTGAGAAAACAAACATCTACTTGAGAAGATATATCTTAACAGATACGTCAAACTGGGAGTGGAAGTATTCTGACTGCTAATCCATGGGAGGCTTTCATAGTACTTTGAAAGGAATTACAAAATTCTGGATTTATTTTTTTATTTTTCCTTGGTGACTCCAGTGAGGAATGGATGCATCTTAATTGCTTTTTTAACAAATGAACTTGAGAAATGGTGCACCACTTTAAATGGCTGACTTTTGTGAAAGGTTTAGCTATGGATGGGATTTTAATTCATGTGTTAATAGCTCCTGTGCTTTTCTGCAAACCATCCATTACAAATAACATAACAATACTTGGTCCAACCTGCTAAAGGTAATATAGCTAAGAAAAACTACAAGTAAGTTTATTTGTAGTGACTAATACTGTTTACATGTAAAAATATTTATAAGGTAGTATCTAAAAGACCTAGACCCTTAAATATTTCCATTTCTATGGAATATTTAGACCATTTCAACTAGAAACTAGTCTGATACATGGTAAATGTAGTGAATTAGAGCTGTTGAGAGATAAAGGATGTTTTAAATGTTTCACAGTGTTCACCTCTGCTGCTTTACAAAGCAACTGCAAAATTTCACTTTAAGGAGTGGACACTTGCTTGTATCTAGAAGTGGTTTCATATTCCTTTCACAATGCTTATCTAGGAATATTTGTTAATTGTTGGATAGGATAGGGTCTTCCATATTGTAAATATTCCTGCCACTCTATTGAAGAGGAAGCAGCTAGGATATTCCCTGAGAAATGTTGTGTATAAGTAGATTAAACCTGATAATCTAATTCTGGACACAGTGACTTCATATGGTTAGTGTGGTTGCTATTTTATTTGAGAAAATACGTCTTGTAATTGTTAGTTACTGCCGGTGTTGACTGGAAGTGGATGTGTTATTTAGAAATTACTGATCTTAGGTCTGTTTTCTCTGGCAACATGCTTACTGAAGAAAACGGCACTAGAGTAACGCTTTTGTTACCTTGACATTTATAAGGGATTCTGAAGGTTATTTCAGATGTCATCTGTCAAGTCTTGTTGCAGTGATTATTCTTTGCTGTGTGGTAAAGCTGAAGGAGTCAAACCTGTGTGATCTAAAATTGTTGAGAAACTTCTACATGTTGCTTCAGCCATCTTCCTTCCAGCCTTTAATCACGATATCACTGATAAGCTAAAGCATTTCATATCAAGCTTGTTGTACTTCCCCTTTGTAATCACTGTTTTCTACAGCAAAGGTGTTTTCTCCCCAGTGTAGCATTGCCTGATGTCTTTGACATTTCTGGGATGTTAAACCTTGTTCTGAGAGCAAGTCTGTCATGGCAGTAGCCAGCAGTGAAGCCTATTGTCAATAACTGTTGGTAACAGGTGTGCCTAAGCCCAGGGTACACCCTGTGGATCTCTTAAGCAGTTCATGTGAGGTTACTCAGCTGGTACAGTGTCCTGCTGTGACAGCCGGGTAACCTGAGTCCTGCTGCCAGGTCACCTTAGCATTTGGCTGCTCCTCTCATCCAGGCCCTGCCTGCTGGGGAACAGCATGTCTGCTAAAGCACTTCTTCTCTTGGATCTCCAAGGAATTGATGGGGGCCTCTGGCTCTGGAATGCAAGAAGAGTTTGACAAGCAGCACGTAGTCTTGGACACAGAGTCTTTAATTGGTATCCCTTTTCTTTATGCTATGTAAAAGCTAGTTTTCATTGGCGTAATACTTAGAATATAAGTGGATAGTATTTTAATTCAAAAGTTCTCTGCTCTCTATGTACCACTTTGTTCCATGTTTTCCTGCAGTCAACTACTGTGTTAAAAAAAAAAAAAAAGTAAATCCTGGAAATACATTTCAGTTTTGTATTAAGTCATCCTCATAATTTGTGTTCTCTCCATTTAGATGGGGAAAAAAAAAATGCATCTACCTTTTTACTGAGGTAAATAATTATTTTGCTTTTGGAATTGCCCAGAGAAAGGCATGCATACTTTGACAAAGTGATCCAAATCACTTTTATTAGTTTTGTTGGTAGGCTGATGTTACTCCTGAGTAGTATTGCTCCTGCAGGTGCAAGGGTTTTTTTATGGTTACCAGTAAACCTCTATTTTTTTCAAATGCAGTTGTTTATTTTACACTATGAGGCTTTCTGCAGTGTGCTTGGAAGTGCCAGGTTTCAGTAGACATTTGTTTCCAGCTCCAGTATATGTACAAATATATGGATACATGATGTGAATGTGCGAATATACATGCATGTGCAAAAAACCCCAAACCAAACTGAGCAAAAAAACCAAACAAAACTAAACACCTGACTTTGTAGGCTGGTACTTAGTACTTAATTGGGGTAGTTTTCAGTTTTAAAAAGTTAATTGAAATTGTATCTGGCTGGAATTTTCTCCTTGCCTCAATTTACGCAATTTACAACCCACTACTATTATCTGGAATTCTGTAAATTACTGTTGCCAAGAAAAAGTACTGTGCCACATAACTCTGTTACCAATGATTTAGCTTCCTCTAAATTCTAGTTTTGTGTACCTTTTTATTACTTGAGCTGTTGCGCTGTCACTCTTGGTTACTGTCTGATGCTGCTGAATTTCCTGCTGTTCTGCTCAAGTACTCTGTCTGGGGACCATAAAGATCAGTGAGTCTTCAGATAGAACAAATGCTCTAAAATGCAGACTGGCAAGATGCTACTTGGATTAGGCAGTGTTGTTGCATCTGTGACTCTTAGATTTTGGATTGTCACTATAAATTTTTTCCCAACTCTCCTATCCATGCTTGAGGTTTTTGCATTATCAACTGGAATAACAAAAGCAATTAGCCTGAAACTGTGTTTTCTCAGACTCCTGACTTCTGTAGCATAGATTCTCTTGTAGTTTTGTAAGTACTGAAGGACATGGTCTCTTCTCTGTTATTTTGAACACTGTTTGGATGAATATGTAGGTTTGGGAAGGATTAGTGTGTGAATGTGCCAGTGTTTTCCATGTTAAGCTTCGAATGTCATTGCAATGCCAGTTGTCTGCAGCCTAGAGAAACAAATATAGGCTGCACTGGACAGGAGTTACTGCTTTCTGGACAGGACTTTTTGCTGACCAGACCACACAATGATGCCAAGCTGACAATGATTAGCCTATGTTGGTTTTTCTTGGTAAGTTACAAAACTGTACATGGATTCAAACACTGGGAGTATTTTGAAGATTGCTGAAAGGTCCTCAAAGTACTTTGCAATTGCTCATACTTATTCAGAGGCTTTCAGAAAGACATTGCTCAGTAGAACAATCTTTCTAGACATTTGTTTGTGCAAGGTGGAGGGAGGAGGAAGGGCTGTGTAACCTGCATCTCTTCACAACCATAGGCACTGGGGTAAGATGCAGTGTGCTGAGTGCTGGACAGACCTTATCCCATGTGATTGTATCACTTGTTCACTGTAGGACCTTGTGAAAATAATGGCACTTTTTTCCCCCTTTTAACCTCACCTATATAGATCAGAAGCATCTCTTAATAGGTCTATTTTCTACCATTTTCATATACATAATGTCATAGCATGAAATGGGTCTCTAGGTGTAAATTGGCATTACAAAAGACAGAATCAGGCAAAGTATTCACATCATCTTATGAAATCTGTGCTTAATTACCAACTGTAGTGAAGGTTTTCTATCAGAATCTCCTTTCAGAGGATTTTCTTCTTCTCTTCATTGATTATGGTGGACTAAGCTAGCTAAATTAGGCTCTAGAAAGTTGAATTAGGTGAATATTATCCGTATCTGTGGAACTTAGGTTGAATGTTTCTACTTCACATTTAGCACCTTATTTGTCCCTCGGGCTACTGTATTTATCTTGCATCTCTCTGGTTGCTATACATTGGCCACTAGTCTTTTGTCTCTTCCTCCTCTTTTTCCTTCATAAAATTGAGCTTGTAGAGAGTCATCATAGCATAGCTGGAAAATCTCTGTAAGAAGAATGTTAACAATATTTAGAAAAGACTTCTGTAAAAGCTGTGAGCATCTGAAGACACAAGTTGGTAAATGGAGAGATTGGTTTTGAACACTCAATCTGAAAAGAAAAAA